GGCCGGTGCGGTCGTCGTGTTCCGGGTCCCCGACGAGTTTGACCTTTTCTTTATTCCTTATTGCGTTGTTTAATCGCTTTGAATGTTGCTCGATTAATCACGCATGTATAGATTACGTGTTTCTGAAAACATATTTCATGAGAAATATGCAAATTTTTTATTTTAAATCTGACCATTCTTTTAATATATCAACTATAAGCTATTAATAGAATTAAAATTATGATGATCATGTTTTCTTTTGATTCTATTGCAATCTTATTAAAAGCAAGTTTGCTCTGATATTGTATATATCATTATAATAATTAATACTTGATAAAAAATAATTATTATAATCAATTTCACCTTAAATTATACATTTCAATAAAACCACGAGTTAATTATAATATTTCAATTTATCATGAGCTTTGGCAAAAAAACTCGAATTACTTCAGAGACCTCGCGGAGAAAAACGGACTCGGAAAAACGGACAGCGCCTCGAAAGCGACACTTTTGAAAGGAAGTCGCCGTCTCTCTTAACTGGCTCGGGGATCTTGTGCGTTAGTCGCGCGACTTCGACTGGCAATTCAGCATCTTCGCTCGCCTCGAAAGACCAAAGACAATCATCTCGGACGATCTCGCGGCGGTGTCCGGCCGGTTGCCGCTGATTGGTCGTACACCGGCTACTGGACCCGGTTGACCCCTAACCCCGGCAACTCGCTCGGCTTTATCGTCTGGAATTGTTGTGTTGGTGGCGAGTTGGTGCAACACATCGCGCAGCTTCCCGCCCGCGGAGACCTCTCATCGCCTCCTCCCGTTGTACACGAGTACGCGCGTAACCGTGTACCACACGCATCTTGTGGAGCCACGGCGGCGGCACGGCGGCTGTACGGTGGGAGCGGAATTCTGTGCTGAGCGACAAACAATTGCCGCCAAGTGGCTTAATTGCAGCCAACTAAACAAATGTCACAACCGTATCCAGCCCGCCGACAACGGCGCCCGCGAGCGCGACTCTTCCCTCTCTAGACAGATCTGGCTCCATACGTCTCTTTTCTTTACGGAAGAGACGAGAGGAGAGGATCCTCATCGTTCCGGAGTCAGCAGCGCGAGTTAAGAATCGTCCTCCGTCTCTTCTTCTTATCCCAACTATTGTGTGTTCCCACGTACGAATGCGTGCGCACGAATCGAGCCTCGTACGCTCGTTGCGTTAAAGAGAGACGTGACCCCGGCGAACGTCGTAACAGAACTCTCATCTCCGCGATCATCCTCGGGATCTCAACGAGATAGCCGGAGCGGAATCGTTAGCTCGACGCTTCCAGGAGATCTTAAACGACGCGGCTGCTCTTGGCTTCGTCTCATTTCGCTTCTCCTGGTTCACCTCGGTCTTCGTTCTCGTACTTTATGCCTGCAAGACGCCGGGATCGTTTCTCATTCGTCGTAGGTGTATACGACCGACCGGTCGTGCGCGCAGTGAGATTCCCATTTATCAGGGTACATCCGCCGGAAGTGGGGCGGCCCCCGTGCGTAGGTGAGACGGAGAAGGAGAGAGAAGGAGCGCGTAGCCCGGTATAGAAGTGGGAAGACCGGGAGTGTATTAATAAATTAATACCTGCGACAACATGTCGGGGTCCTTGGGCGTAGCGAATGAAATTAGCGTTCGGATCTCGATATTACAAACGTGTAAAAATAGTCTCTATTTATTCATACGACAGTTTTATTATTTCGCGAAATTTTCGTTGCTTATAGGTCACTCTCTTTTAAAGATTATTCTCTCGAATAAATTTATCTTCAGGTGTTCTAATTAATAAAGTTTGTAAAGTATTTTATAACAAAAAGAGGACAGTTTAACGAATAAAAAAATATGTTAATTATGCTCTATGCACGATTGCATGGCTTCCAGTATTACTGGAGTACCGTTTGCCGTTCAACCACGAAGACCACGAAGACTTCCCGTATCGCTCGTGTCCTTGTCGTAAATTAAACGCAACAATTCGCAGATATCCTGCCGCGCAGGATAACTCGTAACGATCGTATCGATGGTATCAATTACAAGAATACCGCTGCGGTGCTCGGGTCCGCTCGTCGCCGATCGACTCTTTCTCAGAAAGTAACCTGCCGCGATTATCTTTAATGATAGACACCTTGACGGCGCGCCCGAGCGAGATCGAGACCTCCGGGACAAGCGGCTCGCTTGATCGCAAGACTATTCTTCAAATCGCAGATACGCGAGTTTAGATTACTTGAATTTATCGGAAAGGAAGGGAGAATTTGTGACCGAAGTTTTATATACTTTCTACTCCTTTATTTTGAATTTATATATTTTTATTTATATTCCTTTTTTTTCTCTCTGCTTTAAACTTTTAAATCTCTAACTCCTTTTTCGTTCCTACGATCATGATCGAATCATCATTTCTTAGATTACAAAGATGGTTCATTATAATCGATAGATACGTATAGATACTTCCGTGACCGATTCCATGAAAATCGGGTTATATTAAATTCTTAATGAAAGATTCTTAAAATAACCTCCCGCGAATACCTCCCTTGAAGTCAACGGTGTATTTAGAAAGGAAAGAAAGAGCGAGTGAGATATCCGGCCAATAAATTCCACCGATTATTAAACAGATTCTGCGCTTCTATCTAATACTGATAAACTTCTGAATGCACCATCCCGTGGATCCATTTCGGCCGATTGAAAAATACAAACGATATCAAGTGCAATAATGAAAATTCAATATAATGCTATAATTTTTATATAAAACGCTATTTATATTATCGAAAACGAATTGGCTAAAATTATATTCGAAGTGAAATAGATTAAATACAGATGAAAAAAGTTTTGGCTCGCTGATTTATATATGTAACTGGCGATTCTAAATTTGACGCATGGTTGATATGTATGAATCGGAATCATGCATATGTATTTCAATATGGATAAAAGCGATGCGAAAAAAATCCGCAACATTTCGAGACACCCGAGTGTTTTCCCGTGGCAAACAAAACTGTCAAATCGCGCGATCGTGTGTGTCATAAAATATATATACGAGTATATATATATATATATATATATACATATTTCTTTATCGCGGAACGTATCGAGATACATTCCTCCTGTACCTCCTTACGATAATTCTCCTCTTCGTGGAAAAGTGGAGGGCAAATTGAAAAAAAGCGCGACGCGACATTTCGTCGCGATTGGATCTCCTCGTCACTCTCGCGATTTCCACGTTCGTCCGCGCGTCGGAATTTCTCGGTTACATCATCAGGAGTTTTTGCGGCGCTGCGCACATTGATACGCACGGACACGTACGCGCGCTCTCGTGTGCGCTCGCGCGCTCGCTCGCTCGCTTACACGCCGCCTATGTCCTACAAGCCTGCTGGACAAAGTTGTGGCCGGTATCAATTGGCCGTGCTCTCCGCGTTGTATACCGGTCGACCTTCTGGAGTTGCAACACGAGACCTGACACAGATAGGAGAGGCTGTGCCGCTGCAGAAACGCGCGGCGAACCAGTCGGCCCAGGCATCGCGCAGGCTACGTAGTGCATGCCTTGCGAAACTGTCGGCCGGCCGGCCGTTCATGTTTCAACCGGGGAAAAACCCGTTAATTTCGTCGGCATAAAATCAATCAAAGCGAGATAGAATCGCGCCGCTAGAGCTTGCCTCGCGCGACTCGATGCGAGGATCGATTAGACGACGGCGCGTGATGCGATATCGCGGAACGCGGGGAACGCCGCTTCCCGCGAACACTGCTCTTTTCGATGAAAAACGACCTGACCATATACAGGATCCTCCACTCGACGAGCCTCGGCCTTATTCCCCCCCCAGAACGTCCCTGACCGCTCGATCTCGGCCAGTAGCGTAAAAAGAGGACGTTCTTTTTTTTATATTTTCATTTTTTTTGAATGAACGCCGAGATGAATAGAGATCTGTTCCCGCGTAAATATGAATAATGTATCGATTGCATTTTGAGAAAGTTTATTATAAAACAAGATTATGATATTATCGTTATATAACGCAGTGAAAATAGAAATTTAATTTGATCTTAATTATCTATTTTTGCTATATTTGTATTATTACGATAAAGAATTGGAATTTGACATGCGTAATGATAAATAATTTCTTAATGAACGTAAAACTACTTGCGTTACGTAGACACAATTTTTGTGCATATGAAGTATTTAAATCGGGGATTAATCATATACGCGCACGCATCGAAAGGGTTGAGAGCCGATGCTTGCTCGCGCTACTGATTTCAGATTCTCGATGTGCGTTACTTTCGCGATGCGACGCAGCGACGAGGCGTAAGCAATTTGCATTTCGACGAATCGCGCATTGCCGCCAGCTCTTGATCTAGGACAATAAAGTCCACGGTCTTCCTGTAGGCGTACAATAACGCGGATAACCTTCGATAACTTCTTCTCAATTATACGATTTTATGCACGATATCATGTGAGAATATAAGAATTTGTTCATCTATTACTAAATCTATTACTAATAATAATAATCTATTATTAATAATAATTTCAAGAAAAATTGCCTTACTTTATAATTAAGTAATAATTAAATACAGAATTATGTCTATATTAAATATAAAAAAAATTTACTTTACTGTAAAAATAATCATAATTCAGATATGATCTTATGTAGTGCATCTACATTGTAATTTTTGACTTATAATGTAGGATGAAATTACTTAAATTTTTTTTATATTAATATATTTAAAGGACACCTCCTTACAAAAATGGCACGAATGCTATATAGCAAGATTGAATAAGGCCGCGAGCATCTGTCCCTGAGTAACGATGTGGTTAGGCCGTGGCTGCGCGTTCGCGCGGTATTATCATAACATCAACCGGCAGTTACGGAAAATGAGTTTCGCGAACTTCTAAACGCGCGTTGTAAAAATTTTGTCTTGTTCGTCTTTACCGCGCGGGTCCAGAGCGAAACCGTTCGACTATCACAGACTACGACTCGAGAGCAGGAAACGCTTCAGGATCTAACGGCTTTGTTCATCTCTGTTGCAGGAAAACATCTCGACCCCGGAGCCAGCCGACATATCCGAGGACGATCACTATCCAAGTGAGTAGAGAGAATCTATCATTATCTATACCTCTCCTGTAGCGTAAATCTCGTCGTATATCAGTCCGTATCAGAGGCGGTTGATCGGAACCCCTTTACCCGGCTAAAAGACTACGAGAACCTCACGGAACAAGGAGCAATATCTCGCGTGTGCACGCGTGCAAAGTCTCACTCGTGCCGTGTCACTTTGTCGACTCGATTCGGCTCGAATATACCTTTCTCTGTTTCTCGGAGAAATGTCTCGTTTTTTCACCGCGAGGTCAGGTCGGGTACCGTTTCGGGAATCTTGACCCGAATTCTATGGTAGCACCGCGCACGTCCTTCTAAATTATTGAATCGTGTCTCGAATTATTTAGACATCACTCCGCCATCTCGCGCAGCTCTCCATTTCTCTCTTCCTTTGTCTCTTCGTGCGCGTTTGTTTGCCGATTAATAAATCTCTACTCTCGTCGCCGAAGCGCCGGTCTGCTGCGTATCATCGCTAATTCTATCGGACGAACAAACAGGACCGCACCCGCGCGAGATACGCTAGAAAATCTACGGATTGTCCTTTTGAACTCTCCAGTCCGATTATATGCGGTTGTGCGCAGGAAACGCGGACATGGTTGTTGCAATCGTTCTCGCGGAATTTGCGCGAATTAATAAGCTCGTACACTTTGTCCATCGCTTTGTTGCTGTTGCGCATTATTATATAAAGCTGAATTAGTCATTGATAGATTGAGGCTAGTCTGCAATGTGCTCTGATGATAATCCCAAATCGACATAAATTTCAGAATACGAAGACGATGAGTCGGAAGCTGATAATGTTTTGATAAGTTATAAAGAAATGAAATTTGTGGATATTTATTTCATCTTATAATTATTATTAATTTTTATGTCTTGAAAATAAAATGAAAAGTAAATTCTTAAATGCAATTTAAATTTCTCATCAAATTGAAAATAAATTATTTAAGATATATTATAATTTAATTTTTTTGCATAGTACATTTATGGAATCGATATATATCTAATAATTTTTCTTAGGATACATTTTTCTGGTAAAAATTTTAGATAATACTTTAGATAATATTTTAGATAATTTTAGCTAATAAATCGAAGAGTTATAATCTAACAATCAATATTGGCGATTCGTATCTGCGTATACGTTTACATAGAATGAATTAATATAACGAATTAATATCGTCAAATGTGCTTTATTCGCTGCATTCTCAATTACTATTTTATACAGAATATACAAAAGATGCGTATGAAACCGTGTGATATATGCGTATTATGATCAAATAAAAAGATCAATGATTCCGTGAAAAGGACATATAAAAATACATGCACATATCACATAGGTACCGAACGTTCAATCAATTAACTTCAAATTTTTTTGCTGATTTTGTATAAAGCTTTCCAATCGATATAATATAGTTTTTTCTTCCGATTATGTTTTTTATGAATAGAATGATATTGCATTTTAATTCTTTCATGACATAACGCTTGCTCTGTGATTCATAAGTACACTCTCTTTATAATTCTTATCTAATTTTGATCTTTGATAATTCTCAAGAATCACGCTTATAGTAAAAGAGATAAATAATGCCGGAATAAGTGAACTTGTTAATCATTTCGGAGGAAATTTGTTTTGAATTGCATATAAATCAAAAAAGTAAATATTATATATTTATCAGATGTATGATATAATCAGTTTGAGATATATATCAGAATGAAATTTCACATCAGCACATGTATGATATTGTCGGAAACATATTTGCAGTACGCACTTCTTGCGAGTGTACACGCGTGGCTTACATTATATCGGTGACGATTTCGAAAGCTATCTGGATGTTATTTTTTATTTCTATCGCGTGTCCTTTGCTTGTCGTTTTGCATGATGAATGCATCTGTGCAAACGGGAAGAATGCGAAAAGACACGTGTCATCATTCGCTCTAGGATATCAGTATATTCGCCGATCATCGCGACGAGTCATGCCGTGTACGATGTTAAAACTGGCTCGTAGATCTCGCCGACTTCCCGGTAGATATCTCGCGAAGCCAATCGTCGTTAATCGCGCCGTCGAATTCTACCGCGACGCCGATCAATAAGTACAAACGACCCCCCTTCGCCGACTCGATCGTGTCCAAGGATAAATCATGAGCGCATACTTTGGCGGAGAGTTAATCGTAGTCTCATTCACCCGCGGCCGCGAGTTCGTGTTTTTGTCAGGGTCTGTGTAAATTACCCGATCGATTAATAATCGTAACTAGCGTACGAGTTCGCCGCCAGCTGTGACGATCGAGTTACGCGGCCGGCCGATTTATCAGTTTCGGGTAATTAAACCTGTTGCGTTATTAAGCGCCGATTAAATCGAGTCGACGATGTTGTTGTTTTGTGAGTCTAATTTATTCGGCGCTCCTCGCTCGACTGGAAGCGCTTCGTGAGCTCAGGTAGCTGATAAGTGATAATAGCCTCCGGCACGCATGAGGCTTGCCAGAGATGGATGACGAAATGTCGCGACTCGTTCGCGATATGAAATCATGTCCGGATGTATGACTATGAGCAAGGATTCCCGTTGGAGAGAGACAGAGAGAGAGAGAGAGAGAGAAAGAGAGCTTGGATAACTTTGCACCGTGTACGCGCGATCGTCTTTCATCAGTTAACACATGATGTTTTTTTAACTTGTTTAAAGCCAATTGGTACTTTTAGTGTCGACAGGCTCGCTTATGAAAGACCCGGATAAGCTGAAGCTGATGCTGCTCGCGTGGAATTATAATCTTCAAGCGCAGGCACAGGTCCACCAGGCACAGGCGAACGCCCTCTCGCCAAATAACTCTTCGACTACCACGGCCACCACTGTTGGCACACCTGTCACCAGCCAATCTGCCATTTCCACGGCAAACAACACCATTAACAACTCTACACTCACAGGTAACACCTTATTTCATGCGCGGATATACATGTAACGCTGCCGGATATCGCGATACTCTAAATCGCATGCGAATACATTCGCGAATCGCAAAGATTAGGAACAAACAATTTTCTTAACGTTTTCTCTATAAATTGTTTTGTTATAGATTATCTTTGTGATTTTTAATGATTACAGAAAAATATATATGTCAAAAGAATTCAAAATTCTTGGATGCGTAAAAGAAAGATCTCTTGACAACCTCTCAATAAAGACTATCCTAAAATTATTTTTCTAACAGTAGCATTTATTAATACTTGCTAGTATCATACAGCAATAATTTTTAAAATAGATTTCTCAAATTTACTTTATTTTTATCATAGCTTTCGGAAATATTTTCTCTGAGATCACATATTCTAGGATTTAACTGCTCTTCACACCTATTGTATACCCGTTGATGTCGTGGTGGCACTAAGCGCGATGTCGATCACGACTTTGTGGTCGCTCAAATGCCACGTAAGGGGGCGGAGGGGTGGGGAGGGCGGGGAGGGGAAAAAGAATTCGCCTCACGAAAATCGACGGGACAGACGTTTAACGGAATCCATTACGGAACGTCTAGACGTCTTTCTTTTTTTCTTTTTCATCGCGAAAGGACTCGACGAAGTTACGTACGCCAACGTCCCATTGAGATGTCGCCTAGACTGACGAAATCCTACTTATGAAAAGAACCTTGCTCCGCCTGGCGTAAGCGCGCGGCCGGGGGGCTTTAATGCTCAAGTTTTGCGTCCTTCTCGCACGTGCGACGCGCGGCTCAGCTCGGCTCGGCTCGGCTCGGAGTGAATTGCAGGTTTCGCGGGGCCAAGGTGTACCGGCCATTTAGCTCGTAAAGTTTTGTCGTCGCGCGCGACGTGACTAATGGATCGCCGGCCTAGAACGTACCCCGGGGCGTAGAAAGAGAAATTCGACGCGCGTCTCATCTGTGTATATGTATGTATAATGTGTATCTCCATGTATATCCACGAATGTGTGTGCGCGCGCGCGCGCCTCCTCCGTTCGCTAGACACCCACGCGTTCCGGCGAAATCTACGTCAGGGTGAATCACGGGGGTGAAGCGCGCCGTGAATCCTTCTTCTTCCCCCCGCCGGCGATGAATCAGCGCGGGCGGAAAGCCATGTACCAGATGAGGAATGCAACCGATACCTTCGGGTATCGATGCCACTCGGAGTCTGCGGTACGCGCAGCTATATATTTCATCCTCGTTCATTAATCCTTACGTAATCGTCGTCCGCGGGGCGAAAATTCGCGTGCCTTCTCGCAGACGAATTGTAATCTCATTTAAACTTGCTGTTTAAAAAAAACTAAATTCTCCAATTTTTTATTTTGACCTTTTAAATTTTTCTATTTATCAGAATTTTAAATTTAAAATACTGAGACTTAAAAAATATATATTAAAATATCAGTTATATATTTTTAATTACCTGTACATGTGTGTATGTGTGCATGTAAGGAAAAGAAAAAAAGTATATTCTAAATGTACTTTGATACACCTTGCACTCGAGTGGCCTGGTTGAATAAAGAAGCGAGTCATGTGAATGGGAGCGATGGATGTAACGCGGTAATTGTGTCGGCTGATGGACATTGAAAGTTGAATATCGAAAATTGCAGAGTGTGCGTGCGAAAAGTCCATTAGTCGCACTATTACGGTATCGCAAGTGGATTTCTTAAAATGATTTTGGATTATAGTCGCATACGGCGCATCGTTAATGCTTTTGCGGGCTACCTATTTTTTTTCAATGCAAGAGGCAACGTGTAATCTTTTTCCAGTAAAATTATATTATACGCGAGAATATTACATATATATATACATGAAAAGATATTGCGTTTCCTATACGTAATTTCCCTATATATAATTAAAAATTACTTAAAATCCACAAAGCTAAAATCATATTTTTGTAAAACTTAGCTTTTGTTAAAATGTTGTAATTTCTGCAAATTTACATTATTTATATGTAAGATAAAATGTTAAAAAATTATCGTATCAAAATTATTATCTTGCAAATTGCAAATAGTTATGTCCAAAAATGACCCAATTCCCTTATAACATCATCGTTTTCCGTTGCTAATTTAGCTTCGTCATACTCGCAACATCTTCAGCAGCGAAAAGGCATACGCGTTAATTGCTACACACGTCCTTAACGTCGCGATAATCACGCAACGTTCTCCAAGGCACCGAACGTTTCCGCACAGTACTGCACGTTCCTTGAGACTCGTCTGTTGTTCAGTTAGGCCAGGTTGCGGAAGGATAATTCATCGTGCCCCTCCGTCTCGGTACGCCTCTTCTACCTATACTCCCTAGCTATTTGAAACTGGTTTCGAAGCGGGCTTCTATATCTCGGACGTAGCCATTGCGTAATGAACCAGCCATCGGCCAAAGAGACGAGTAAATATATATGTATATGCGTACGTGTGCGTATTTTATATATATATATATATATATATATATAATATAAACGCACACATAAGTACACACGTATACGCGGATACACACAGATTGCAGAACGGAATCCTCTTCTCGTCCATCCGTCCCTCCCTCCCTCCCACGTGATGACCAGCGCAGATTCCCCACATCTCGCACAGAACTTCTCTCACCGGACCCTGCTTCGTAGACACGCGTTTCGCAAATCGATTTCTCGATAGAACCACTTCTTCTGCCGCGCGATCTCGGACGGGAAAAGCGAGAAAGATCGTCGGAGGCGCGATTTAATCCGAGTTGCGATCTTTCTAATGTAATCTTGTTCTCGCACAATTTACATTTTCAGTTGAGAATCCGCGATCGTTTATTCCCTCACTTTCTCTTCGTTTCTCTTGTAATTCTACCTACATTTTATTTTGATCGCGTGATATACTTTGGAATATTATTAATTATTAAGAAATTATATTTATTATAATAACGCACATTTTTAATAATATTGATACGGAACATAATTTTTCAAAGTAAAACTGAAAAATGATAGTTTTACCAAAATAACTTTAGATTCAAGCTGATTGATTTTTCGATAAAGCTTCGTCCACTTAGAGATCTTGATAAAAAAGACATAATGATGGCCGCGAGGACATCTCCGTTTCTCATCTCTTAATGTACTCTCTGCGGCAGAGTCGGCGGTGTAATATTTATAATTTACAGTAGACACGCAACTTTTTCTGGGCGCATACGCGCGATTATGCGATATGTTTGCGAAAGAGAGAGAAAGAGAGAGAGAGAGAGAGAGAGAGAGAGAGAGAGAGAGAGAGAGAGAGAGGAGAGAGAAAGAGAGAGATACGTCTCAAAATCACAATATCTTAAATATAATCGTTTCCGGATTTATGTCATATATATACACGTATATACAAACAGAACAATCATATACTCTCTTTAAAGATTGTCTTTTTAGATAAAATTCTGAAAAAACCATCGAATGATTATTTTAAAAAAACTAGCTTTTTAAATTATTAATTATATTTAAAATATAGCAAAATATATATTGTGTGTGTATATATATATATATATATATATATATATATATATATATATATATAATTAACACTGAATTCGTCACTAGAGCAAAAGTAAATTAATTCAAATTCAAGAAATCGGATAGAAATTATTAAAAAAAAAAAAGATTGAAAAAAAGAAATCAGAGAAAGAAAGAATTTCTCCAAACTTTAATTAATAAATTAAACTAGTAGAATTAAAATATGTAATTTTTTCAATTTAATAAACGAATGAAAATTCAAAATTAATTATAGAAAGCATCCAATTATCTTTAAATTTCAGAGGTAGAGTCAGAGCTTCCGAAATCTCTCTCTTTCACATCGACGCGAGCGCACACATGCCATCATGCGCGACGTCCTACTATGGTCAGCGACATTTATGAGGGACAAGATAATACGTCTTCGTCCATCGTCCTCGCAATTGCACGTTACCATCCTCGCGTGGCTGGCATCCGAGCGGTAGACAGTTTCATACCTGACCCGTAGGCGTACGTAGCTTGTCCGCGAATTTTGTAACGCGCGAGGCTCATCGCGCACAGCAGGCGCGGAGACTCGCCTAGAAAAAGAGGAAGTGCCTGTGGTACGGTCGTAGAAGCCGTGGTATTAGTTTCCCTTTGCGGGAACACGCGCGAAGCCGAGGGAACGAGGAGGACGAAGTGCCGGGTGGGGCGCCGCCGACTGATTTCAGGTTCAGGCCGGCGGCCAAGAGGCGAGTTCAGGAACGGTGCTGGTGTGGGATTGGGATTGGTAACCGGCTTTCTAGCCGTACACGCGGGACGGCCTAGCCTTAGCGTTTTACTTATGTGCGTGTTGTTCCCTATCTTCTACGCCTAGTCTCCGGCGATGCCCGATTAGTGTGTATACCTCGCCGCAGGCCGGGAACCCTCTCTCGGTGTGCGCAGTGCCGTACCCTCCTAGAGAGTGTTGCACACACATGCACACGCACACGCACGCATGTGCGTTTTTCCGTGGCCGCATGCGTGTGAGAATCGAAGTGCAGCAACCTCTAGAGGGCCGGTGGAGAATAAGAGAAAGACGAGGAAGGCGAGATAGACAGAGAGGCAGAGAAGGAGGGATAGAAACGCACGGTGTAACATCGTCAGCACGCCTCCTGGACGAGGGTCCAGTTTCCTGGGTCGTCTGTTTGCCCGTTCAGTTACTGGTTCTACCGGAATCCTCCTAGAAAGATACGTTGCGATCGCTGAACGACTCGAGAAATCAGAATCGCCCGTTCGTGCATTCGAGATAGCCGCGTCCAGATAGACTTCGCGTCTACGCGCGGAAGAGGTCGAAACGCCCGGCAGAAAGTTGCCCAGCGACGATGCAAATGTTTCAAGACGTTGCCTTGCAACGCGTCCGCCTCGTCTTGAAAACTACGCTCGGAAGAATTCGATTCCAGAATGCAGATTAACTTCGCGCACATCGCGAGAGAAGTGCATCTAAAATCGCACGCTTGTCCGAGATGAGATAGATTTAGATTATCAACAAAACAAACACGATGTCGTATCAAGATCGTATCATCTATCCATAAGGATTCTTATTTTATGTCATCTTTCTACCGTATCTATGATATTCAATCTACATTTATAATGAGCAGTAGAATATTTATTCTATTACACATCTCATATAGAGAGATAAAAAGAAAATATATTGTTCTTTTTCTACCCTATTATTCTTTTATAACTAGATTCTCCTTTTTAATATATATACATATATTGTATATTTTAAAGATCAAAATATATACATGTCGCATTATAACCGAAAATACAATTTGTATAGAAAATTAGAGCAGACTTGTTCGCTTTGTATGAACGTTCATGTTCTCTATCGATCGTGCGAATGTGTAAAACGACAAGCCGCAAGGCTGCCCCTTTTTTTATCGGAACCAAGGAGAGCCCCAGGTGGAAGAAGTCCGCGAGGCTCGTAGCCTCTTTACGATCCTCCTGCGGCACTCCCTACCGACAATCCATACGCCTCTTCGTACATGAAGCCTCTCGCCGGCCACGAGAGACCTCCTCGTACCTGTCCCCGTCGACATCCTCTTCGTGAAAGCGCCTTTACCGTACGTTCTCTCTTGGGATCGTGTCGGTAGAAACCCGCACTGCCTTTTAACACTTCGCACACGCTATCGGAGCTTATTACGGGTTTTGAGAACAGGTCGCCATTGTTATCGTAGAAAAGAAACACGGTCTATACAAGGGTTGACCGAATGACGGTCCAATCTTACTGTTATCGACACAATTGACACTAAATTTCAGTCTACCTTCTGGTGAGAAGATTTGGCACAAACTTGCCTGCTTCGAAAATTTAATCACGCGAACAAAAAGCAGACATTTTTATTTGTGAAAAATTTTAATGCCGCATATTTAAGTAAAATTGCAATTTAGTTTAAATAACGAGATATGATATAACATAGTTTCTCGATACATACATTGTATCAATATTATCATTGTAATTGAGAATGTGATTCAAAACGTGATGCATATTTGCCAAGTGAAATTATTTAATGTGAAGAGTACATAATTAATTAATTGATATCTGTTTTTCGGTCATCTGTCAAAACTTTTCTTTCTCGTTTCTTTATCATGTAATTGTCATTTATTAGACGTTACTTTATCATGACTGTTTCCTTTTGATTCTTCCATCTTGACTTAAATTAAAAATAAGAGAGCGCAAAAATATTTTCGTAATTATGAGAATAAAATGTAACATGTAATATTCCCAATAAGTTTCCTCGGAACGTAAAAAATTAAAAGATTTTCCTGTTTATATTTAAGAGGAAACTATTATGCGTGATTTAAATAAGTTTTTTATATGATATTTATATGTATTTTTTATAAGTTAGTAGTTGTTTCAAAAAGTAAAATATAATATGTTCAATTCATTCTCTTATTGCAACTTTTTTTTAATTAGAATGTAATGAAACACAAAACGAAAAAAATCAATGATCTCATATTTAATCACAATTAATTTATAACTTTTTTTAACTGTTTGAAATATGCAAAGCACTTTTTAAAAATCAATAAGATTATTTGATCCCTAAATTACTTTCTAATAGAGAAATTATAAAATTTTGGATGATACAGGTGCTATCCGTGTTAATCGATCAGTTCTAATCAATGTCGTCACGCAAGTCAAATGTATAGCGCGTTTATTATATTCACGGGATAAATACCACCCACGTGTCTCTCTCTTTCTCTCTCTCACCAATAGAATGTCTATCCGGTCGCACATGACTGGTCCCTCATCTGACCATAGCGTGGGAAGGAAAAAAGTATTCTCTTCTTTTGTTCTATCTGCAACGTTCTCTATTCATAAATCGAAACAGCGCGCGGCAGCGATCTAATCATCACGGCACGGCGGGCATTCAACGAGAACGTTATTATTTTCCCGGCGCTGCCCCGGTGGAAGATCCCTCTTTTACCAGATAATTACCGATCGCGAGCGCAAAGTGTTCCTACCACCAAATTTGCATTATTAATTAGTAATAATTATCATTGTAAAAATATCATTGTTCATATTACAATCATTATTGATGCTAATAATACTAACAACATTGAGAGATTTCAATAAATGACATTTAAATAACAGATATTATTATTATCGTTATTATTATCGTTAAAACATTAATTATACGTATACATACGTGCATTGCTATAATAAAAACGATAAAAAATCCAGACTGCGACACACTTGCTAAATCGTCATACGATGTTTGCAGATTCTCGAAACGGTTCTTCGGAATTAGTGGACATGCCAGCGGGAACCGTTCCGAGTTTGGGCGCCGTGACGGGCGGCGAGGACATGGCTTCCTTGTGGGCAACTTATACCATGAGTTACAAGAAAACGTCGCCGCCGGCATCGTCGGCGACGCCCTCGCGATCGGATCGCGATCGAGAGTCCAGCCCGCCCGGTGGCGAGGGAACGGGAAGCGCCCACGATGAAACCAGCAGTAGTGGCAACAAGGAAGACGAAGACGATGACGACATGGACGTGGACGAAGGACTAGACCCGAGACATCACGATCCGGAACGTCTCAAGGCGTTCAACGTAAGTATATGTGTTTTATTTTTTTTCCTCTACGCGTGAGGCTTTATGAAATTTACCTTCTTCGTGCTTCTTATTTACATAAGAAGGAGGATCTTTAAGTATCTTGACTTCAAAATTGAGTTCGAAATTTAAAAATATAATTAAACGGTAACGTCATCACTATTCTCATTACCGCAAATATTGTACGTTGCAATCTCAGTGAGCGGAAAACGTATAATAATAACTGAACTACGCGCAGTTGCATATCTAACCGGTCACTTTATGCAACTATCGTTGCAAGAAAAGCGTCGTTTATGCCTCGGAAGGACCGTGCAGGGACGGGAGGGAGGGAAGAGCGGTAACGGAGCGCACAAGTTAAGGCCGTCGGCATATTGGCGGCACGAAGGGGCGGGGGAGGAAGGGGCTTTCCCTAAAAACCCTAATTATCGTAAAGTTTTACGAGCGCACGATCCCGGAGAGCCGGTTCACAGGGGAACCAGCACATGCCGTTTCTCTCTCGCTTTTCCCCCTCGGGTTTTCCCCTTTCTCATATATCTCTTTTTTTCGTCCGTTTTCCTCGTGAAAGCCAAGCGGTCGTAGTTTCGCGGCGGTTGCCGCTGGTGCGCCGGCCAGCTTCTTAATTAATTACAATTAGTTTAATAGAGTCCCGGTGTTGCGCGCCCCACTGCCGCTAAATTCTTAATTTCTTGAGCGGTTAGCGAGACTCCCGCGTAACAACTCCCGCTTAATTCATTCCACTAACGTTGCCCCGCTGCGTCGTGTTCCGCGCAGATGTTCGTGAGGCTGTTCGTCGACGAAAACCTCGACCGTATCGTGCCGATCTCGAAGCAGCCCAAGGAGAAGATCCAGGCAATCATCGACAGTTGCACGAGACAGTTTCCCGAGTTCGCCGAAAGAGCCAGGAAGAGGATCCGCACGTACCTGAAGAGCTGTCGGAGGAACAAACGCGGCAGAGAGGGCCCTTGGGACACCGTAAGTTTTTCCAATCACATATAATACATCTCTAATTTTAAATTTACATTTACGTTTTTTCGAAATGTCCTTGAGAACTTACCATTTGATTAATTAAAGCTTATGCACGCGCCCCTTGAAATATCCGCGAATCAAATTTTGTTCACGAAAGCTTGGGCATTTTCGCGGCATGAGTCAAGCCTCGATGCGAGCACACGAGAACGCGCGAGACTGACGTATGCGTTTCTTTTTAGGCCAGACCCACGCCAGCACACTTGACCTCCGTGCAGGCTGAGCAGATTTTGGCAACGGCCTGCGAAAACGAGAGCGACAACGCGAAGCGCATGAGAGTCGGTCTAGAGCCTGTGTCGCAGCCTATGCCAACTCTTCCGGCTGCAACGGTGAGTAATAATCACACGCAAAGGAAGGGACATACTTCGCATGCGACAATGTTGCCCTCGGGCAAGTAAGACGTTTCAACATCGTTAACTTGGCAATAATTATGTGTCGCAACACATTCTAGACTGGTGGCATATGGATGACGATATGACACAGATACCGAAATGCATTGGCGATTAATTTTAAAGCTCTTTTTTCATCGCCCCAGAGTGGGAATCACACGTGTCTTTGCGGATGTTCTTCCAATAATGCACGCACATGGCTGACTGTAATTAGATGCTACGCGTGCGCAACCTTCGGACTTTCTTGCCGGCGTACACAAGGAACACGTTCATTAATCAAACGATTTTTAGACAAATGTATTCACGACGCGCTTAATCATAAACCAATGCGGGAAGTAATAACGCGACAGATAGATGCAAACGTGTGAATCATTGGAGGAAATAAATCAATTACATTTGTTGCGATATCGAAACTTAACAGTGCGGTATCAAAACATATCTGAACTAATCCAGTGTTTTTTTAAATAATAGATATAATATCATAAAATAGCAATAGATATAATCATCAGATAACAAACGCAAATATATATATATATATATATATATATATATATATCTCGAATAAATAAAACTAATAAAATTCTAAACTATAACAAAACATTATCTATCTCATGTTTTCATTATTGCTATTTTATCCACAAACGTGTACTAGCAATGCGTATCACGCAGCAGGCGCGTGTACAAATAACGCACAGCTTGCTGGCATTTCGATCGATCCTCATCCTCGTAGAAATAGGCTACGCGTCTACCTAATTGTCCTTTAACTCATTTATACATTCCGTTTCGTGCATTCGAATTTCGTCATCACGCGCAGAGAATCCCATCACTGTTAAAATAAATACCGCATTAAGCTCGCCTTTTCATTCATCATTTATCTAGCATTATTCTGCGATTCTGTGATTGATTTAAATATATATGTATATCTATAAAAACAGCCGGAGAAGTATTAAATAGAAACTAGGGTGACGCAAAAAATAAATATCTCGAGAGGAACGAAAGAAGAAAATTGACGCGAATAAGATAAAAGAGAAAATGAATGAGGAGGAGAGATTTTCGATGACGAGTAGAATCTCGTATATTGTCGCGCGTGTAAAATTCGACGAGCTCCTGCTCAGCGCCTGGCAGCGAGATATACGTGAACGGAGAGCTAGGATTGATATAGGTACCGCGAGAGAAGGCCAGCGATAACCCGCGGGTCGCGCACCTCTCCCACTCTGATACAACCCGCGCTCTACGGAGGGCCGGCGACGGCAACCTCGGCCTCGTAAAAACGATCGTATGCGTATGCGGAACGGAAGAAACTGAAAATATTCTCGGGAGAGAAACGCGCGCGGCGCAAAAGCGCGACGCGACGCGACGCGGGGAAGAGAGGGGAGGGGAAGGGAAAAAAAGCCGTCGCGGACTTTCGCGCGCCGAAGAAGGAATATACGCCGATCGCGCGACATCGCGAGATTAGTCTCGTGTGTCTATAAATTTCGCGGTACGTTACGTCAGCTATGCGAATCGTGACTTCGAGGAATCATTGCCGAGATATCCGGGCAATTTTCGGGTGGAAATTGGATCGATCACTTCTCGAGAATCGATCGCTCGTTCGAAAAACACTGATCAATTTCGCGAATCGCTCTTATTGACGTCAGATTTCATCAACGCGCCGAGAGCGTTTAACGATATGGAAACAATTACGGCAGCGTCTGCGTTAACTCAGTGTTCGTCACATATTACGCAGAGTTTAATAAGATAGCGCGAAAAAGCGGAAACGATCTCGTGTATGAGATATGCGTGTGTGTGTGTATGCGATAAGTCCGAGCAATCCAATTTCGTACAATACATCGCGCGACTTGGCGCACCTAATCCTCTTCCCCCGTCACTTCCGCACGTTTCTTTCGCGCGGTTCTATTCGCCGATTCTCCCGTGGATTTCGCAGTTGGCCAACATGCCGCGATGACATCGTCGCCCTCCCTCGCTCCATCCGCTCTCCTTCCCCTTCGCGGACCATGCCTCTCGCACGCAAACGAGAAGCTGAAACGCGCGTGCGGTCCCCTGTCCACCGCGGCCCCGATTTATCTACTTTGAAAATGCCTGACCGACAAGGAGACGGAGTAACGGAGAGAGAGAAAGAGACCCGATAACCTCTCTGGCGACCTAAACCTAACCCATTAAGGAGAAGACCTCTTTCATATACGTATACCGGGGTTGTGCGCGTCGGACGAAGCGGCTATCTTGCGCCTCGTGGCCACCTATATAATTGACGTCAACGTACACTGCTGGCCTTTCATAAAAACACCTCCCTACATCCGTTCTACGTCGCTTGAAGATTTCATTCCTCTGTGCTCTCGTCGTGCTCGGACCCTCTTCCCGCGATCTCTCAGCGCTTCTTCCCCTCGTTTTCTTCTTCTCTCAACCTCCTTGCCTCCTCCTCCTCCTCCTCCTTCACCTCCTTCTCCTCATCCTCCTTCTGGCTACTCTCCGCCAACCCTCTGTATGCGTTTCATTCGATCTCCTCCTTTGCCAAGCAAGTCATCCGTTTCTGTGGTGGAAACGCACATTGTCACCTCTCGACATTCACCGTAGTCTTCTTCTTCTTCTTCTTTTGTCCTCTTCCGATGCTTGTTCTCTCTCCTTCTTTTCCTTCTTGTTTCCACGAATTAATTTCTTCTCGCGAGTTTACTCACGCCTCGTCCTTTTCGTTCCGACGCATCCGGACGTTCTCTTTTCTTGTTCCTGATGTATCTCCCTCGTGTCAACTCGCTTTTTCCTCATCGTCCTCATTTGTTTTGTGTGTTTTCTTTTTCTCCGTCGGCCGAGAACATTTTCGCTTTTTCGAATCTCGCTCGAGTAAATGCGGACGTTATTGTTATCATTCGTCGATACGTCGCCAGTAGGCAGGGTGGGGCGAACGCAGAAGTTTAAGACCGAGAGAAGAAGCAGAAGAGGAAATCCAAGTGAAGAAACTGTTTCGCTCGGTTGCTCATAGCGGTGAATACGATCGTGTTCGATGATCGGGATCGTGTTGATAACGAGAGCGGATAGATTGCATAATCGAGGCTCAATTAGCTCGTGTCGGGACGATTCTCGGGGTTGATGATCGATAATTCGTAAGACGATCGATAGTGCCCGTGTTGTTTTAGTGATAATCACGTGCTTGCGAGACATCGGGCCGGTTATTTTCAAAATGAGGAAAAAGAATCTACCGGTCGTTCACAAGCCGGTGCGCGATCATAATCAAAATCAGGTATTATATCGAATTTGCATTATTCTATACATCATCATTCTTCGATATCCGAATAATATAATGAAGCAAAAAGTATTTTTTAAATATTTTATAGGTTAGATTTATAAATCTTAAATTCTTGTTTTTTATCGTTATTTACAAGCATCAGAAGAGGATACATAATCTATAGGATAGGATACATAATCTCATTGAATTAATTTGAAGAATAGGTGGAATCGCAACATTTAATCACAGTGCGCTAAAAAATTACAATACCTTGCGTCGCACTAAATACATTTTTAACCGTTAGCAAAGATTGAATCATAAACAACAATTAATTTACATTTTTTTTATTTATTCAATCATTACGCAATCGAATTTTGCAAATGAAAACCCAATAACTCCAAGATAAGCTACCGTATTATTTTAGTCTATTTAATCGATTTTCTCGAACATATTATTTTTAAATCTAAACTAATACCTCGAGAAAAAAATCAGTTTCTTAAAATAGTATTCATAAGTTTAAAACTGTACATATGTGTGTGTGTGTATTTTTTACGTATATATTACGTATGCATAAATTAAGATTATTTAAGATATTTTTCTAATGATATATTTTATTGCAATATTGTTATCGATTGCAGCAAACGGACGTTCGATCAAGTTTAGAGCACTTCTCGAGCACGCCGATTAAATCACTTCCGGGTAAGAGGGAGGACACTCCCCCGGCATCGCTAACGTCCCTGGCACCTTTAACCAGTTTGGCGAACTTACCGAGCAGCACCCTTTCCTCCACGCCGCTGTCGCTCGCATCCGCGTCAAAGTTGCTCACTCCAACGGACAACAAAAGTCTCATGAGGTCAGTACGATGAACTAGTTACGAGGCAAGACGAGTGAAATCCGTTTTCTTACTAGCGGCGTAGTAGAATCAAACTCTTATCTGTTTTTTAATTGACTGTTTACCAAGGCCGATTCGATATAAAGCGCGAAAACAAACTTTTCTCCCGGGTCAAAAATTCTATCCGCGTCAATTTACATTATTAACTGTGAATGAAAAAAAATTAAAGAAGTTTATCGCTCTTTCGCTCAATACGATTACGATTAATTCTCTTACTTCTCTTTGAATTACCGTAACCGGTTATCGCAATCGGACGCTAAGATTTCCGTCGCCGAGTTCTAGATAAGACTTCGCCTACGGTCAAAGATCATGGCACAAAAATTCACCGGACGCCTCGTTAAACGGGTACACGTCCTTAACGGAACGTAAAGCGCTAATCAGCGCGGTCGTTATCGCTAACGCGCATCTCATTCTCATTGCGTTTTTCAGCCAGGCGACGATAGTCAGTTCGTCGACGGTGAATGGTGTCGCCAGTGGCGGTGCACCGACAGCCATGTACAGACCTAACTTTAGCCAGGCGTTCCAGCGTGCCGGGCCTACAACGGTACCGCCGACCCTCTCAGCTGGGCTCTACCCGACCCAAAGTTTCACGTCGGGCCTACTGAGCAACGGTACACAAAGTAATACTGGTTATTGGTGTCCTTTTAAGTTCGCTTGTGCCCGCTATTTCCTTGAGATGCGGCTCCAAGGTTAAATGTCAATCAAATATTTTTTTTAATTATTTTTTACATTTTTTAAATATTAAATTCTAAATCCTCTCTATTCATATTTAATCGAAAATTAATTGCATGGAATAACTAAAAAAATAATAATTCTTTGCTTGCTGCTTCTTTTATTTTTGTGATAATAATATAATAATATTCCACAATTTAATAATACGATTGAAAATTTATTTTATAATGGAATATATATTGCAGGACCAACGGACCTTAGCATGAAGAATACGAAGCCACTGCTAAGTCACAAGTTGAACGCGACGGAAATGACCGCGGTGAGACAACTGATAACTGGATATCGGGAATCTGCCGCCTTTTTGCTTAGATCCGCCGATGAGTTGGAGCAACTGTTGCTGCAGCAACCATAGAGTTATATTTATATGGCCAGCGCTCAGCCGCTTGGCTCATAATCACAATAGTCGACGAGAAAGCGATCCAAGTATTGGTATACCATGCCATGAGCACTGCGAGCTCTATCTGATCATCGAGAGAAACGTTGGAGTCAGATTCAACGTGGTTTATTCATTGATAATTCTTCAAGGGCGTTTGTACTCTGTCGGCAATGCGACTTTTCTTATAAGCTTACCCTCTGCTGCAAAGAGGTTTTCGCTGATTCTGATCTGATAAGACGAGAATGCAGAATTGTATTCAAAATTTAACACAGTTTGACTAGTTTAGGAATAATTAGAGAAATTAATCGGAGTTACTTCATAATGGGCAAAGATTTCTTTGACGAAAAGACAACAGCCAAGTTTGAAATCGCGATACAAGTATTTCAATTCTATGCAATCTATATATTACATTACGCAAGTATTGCATTATTAAAAAAAATGATCTTTATTCGGACTCCTCTATTGTAATTTGATTAAAAATGCCAAATATAAAATTATACACGCAATACAAGATTTATATACTTATATATATACTTATATATTTCATATATAAATATATGTATGTGTATTTATATTTTTTTCGCTTTTTTAATCAAACTATAACGAAGATCATTTTTTTCATCAGAATTATATGCTTATCATTTGGAAATTTTTCTAACATCTTTTTTACATAACGTATGCTTTCTAATTTACCGCATTTAAGGTTATTAGTAACTAAATAAACGTTGTAATTCCTCTTTATGTATATATATTCTGTATTCGAATAGTTTCCTTAAGTCTAGAATTATAAATGTATCATAGCGATGCGCATGATAAGATATGCATTTGTTTTATATTTTTCTCTCCGAGAAAAAAAACAAAATTTATTCTTTTTTTTATCTATATGTTATTGCCTTATATAAGACAAATTTTTCGCTCTGAGAAAAATATAATTATGTGACTCTTTTATTGAAATTTGTCCTCTTGCTTAAAAAATGGCAAAAAGTGAATTTTATAATGATCTCTCTATAATACGTATCTTTTTTCTTAAATTATTTTTTCTAAATCGATTTCTCTGAAAATTCTACGCAATCACCACTCTTGATGTAAATAGCAAAAACAAAGAAATAACAAAGAAAATCTTCATTTATTATGAAGTAATTCCAAGTACAAAAGAAAGATTAATTTCTCTTATTATGTATATAAAATAAAAAATATAGTTCTTTCTGGAGAGCAAACTTTGTGTCTCTCTGATAAAAATATATATAAAATAAGTAAAAAATGCATATTACGTAATGCGCTACGATATATTTCTAATTTTAGATTTAAGACAATTTTCCGAACAGGGTGTGCATAAAGAAAAATTATTGAAATATTTACTTAATTATTGATAAACTTAAAGAATGATGGTGAATTAAGATACAGGAATCAATGTATAAAAACGTATAGAAAAGGATGACAAATCATTTAAAAATATGTACTATTAGTACATATTTTCTAACAAAGATAAAAGCGTCCCAAAACTTTTTCTTCTTTAAAGTCAGCTGACTTACAGTTTTTCCTATTCAAATTCATAAGCTTTGAAAAGCAGCTTGTGAATTTCATAATTCTACTACAAGTATATATATATATTCACCGTTTGGATGATGGCTGAGAAGGAAGCTGTCACGTGTTCTTGACAAGATGCTAATTTCGCTAATCTATTTGTTGTCGTTATGTACATATGACGTAAAATATATAATATGAATAGCAACTCGAAATATTTCCCATGGGAAAAAAACGTCGATAATCTACAAGAGTGTGCGATTAATTCGCGCGTATAAATCGCACTATTTACTTCAAGAGTGGCGAATACATACAATTTTTAGAAAGTGCATTGGAGAAAATATGAAATGTGAGAGATACATATTGTGAAGAGATTATCAGGAGACTTTACTTTTCGCCAGTTTTGAAGCAAATAGATAAAGAAGATTATACGATAGTCATACGTGTACATAAAAAAGATCCGCGTTTATGCAATGATACACGTGTATATAATAAGCAGATTGAAAAATGGGAAGAATTTTTTATTGGCGACGTGTTAGAGGGCTCGTCAAAGATTAATTAGTTGATTAATTGATTAACGATAATTGTACATGTGGGCGTAATATAGTCAGATCAGAGGCAAAGGAGCGTAGTGATCGAGAATATAATTTCGGGACCATCTTGTCACGATCGGACAATACGTTATAACCGTATTCGTGGTCTCCGGACGCATCACTGTGTTACCAAAGAGCACTAATTATTATCGTTAATGTATCTATAATACTATGTAAGTATCGCGTGTCGCATTTTCATTTACTTTATATGGTTTTTTTTTTTTACAAAAGCAAATTATTGTCTTGGTTGATCATACCAAGTTAAATATAACGATAACCGTTTGTGGTTACGTGATAACTGTATATGTCATGTCTCTGAATTTATCTTATTTCAACTATTATCATTAACACATTGCTATGATAATTATATTTTTATTATTATTATATTTCGTCATCACAACGTTACGATTTGACACGATTATCATTATCGTGGTATTATTGGTTGCCAATCTCAAAGAGGAAGAAGATAGAGATATTTGTGGGAATTGTTTGCTCTTTCTCAAAAATTGATTCAAATATCATTGATTTGAATGATTCAAATATCATTTTCCACAGAAAATTTTCGCTTGTTAATTCTTTGCTTTATCGTTGTGTGTACATAGTTTAAATACATACTGTCGGAGTACATATACAGATTATAGGAATTAAGTTGTTTAAGTAGCTTTAAGTAGATATAAAAAAAAGAATATGTATATCTTCATGCGAATGAGATCGTGCTGATTGCTATCAACTGCCGTTGAACTTGAAAGAACTTGCAGAACATTCCAATGGGAGCAAAGCAAATCGAGGTATGTGAAAATATGAGCATAGGATGAGTTGGAGAGAGAATATTATTAAAAAGAAAAAAACATGAGAGAGAGAGAGAGAGAGAAAGATAAAAAGAGGAGCGAGGTAATGTATGAGTATGTAAGTATGTAACGTATAATGCGTGATAAGTGAACGTGCGCTCATTGAAGATTCTATAGGAATCATGACTCTTATTGATTGGCGAGAAAAAGTACTTCCTTTTTCCTTTTGCGTTTGCAAGCAGACGGCGAAAAACCCGTCGTCGTGCGATCAAACAATAATGTTTCTCACAATAATGTTTGCGGCACTTTAGTAAGAGAGTATCGAATAAAGCGTTTCAATTGGAATTAATTCTACCTCTCCAATCACTTCAAACTCGAATACTCGCGATGTGACAATGCAAGCGCATCGCACCGAATACAATTTTTCGCCCGTATAACGTAGTAATCGGACATGTCTCTAATCGACACAGTGCAATAGTCTAATAATAGCGATACCGTGTATTATCAGTCGTCGTCACGATCATGTTTCTATCATGCACGACGTAAATAGTCTCATGTCAGCTCAGCCACTCCTCCCTTTCCGCATTTTCTTATTAATTTCAAGCAGGCATCATATTTCTTTACGAATATAAGCTATCAACCGTTCATATCTTACCGCTAGCATTGTACATTTATATGTAACCCACCTCCTCAGATCTTTGTAGCCACATATTCGCGAGGACCGAACTCCGTTTTGCGAACTACATATTTCCTCCTTCCCCGCCAATCCGACTAGCAATAATGTTCACTGCGCGCTCTGCTAATAATTGATACTTATGATTATGCCTCGACAATTTTATCATTCGTAAAATTCGTAAAGCAACTCGAAGGAATTTGTTGTATCGAATGTTATTCTCGATTAAATAAGAATCGAATCGAATTGATCGTGTCATCGATAACATTGCCCGGTTTGGGAAAAATTCGGATCCATGACACATCCGAAATACGGAGTAAAAGGAAAAGGGAAAGACGAAGGAGACGGGATAGAAAAGGATTTTATAGGAGACCGAAAAAATGCGACACTTGTTCTTTTTTTCCTATGTTCGATAAAAAAAGTGTCCGTCGTGTACCTTAATTCGCCTACGCGGAAGTGCAGTTTATATATAGTCGCGAATCAGTGTATTGATTAAAGAAAAAAAATATGTATTTGTTCCTAAAAAAATGATAAGAGTAGTATAATATAATATACTATAAAAAAATATTAATATTAATAATAACGATAATTTGATGGTACACATACTTTTCTTATAAGTAATATTATACATTACTATACGATTATTGTAGAGTTGGTACGGTTCTTGAGGATGCCTTGCCTGTAAATGTAACACGTTAAATGAAAAAAAAATCTTATTACCTTGTAAATGTTTTACCAAATATAATCGATTATTCAACTTATTACTTCGATCCTGATTCCTTTAATTGTTCAGCGTCCTATCTGCGTCAACGTTCCGGCCAGAGATTTACGGCTCGGTATATATTATTTTTCTTTCCTTCTTTCTTTTTCCTTTCTTTTATTCTTTCTTTTATTCTGCCGTCTTTTCGCTCGACTAACGTTGGCGAAAAAAATCCCGTAAAGCCGCGGTTTGTGCACGGTCATAAATATCTCAGACGTATGCATAATTGCGGCGCTTTTAAATGCGACGAGCAATCGACCCGATAATGTATTATGTGCATACGTATGCATCGAACGAAATGAAAAGCAATGGAAAGTTGAATAAGCACCGCAAGATCACGATCTTGGACGGATTGTGAAACTCCTACCTTCTCGCAATGTGGTAAGAGTTAAAGTTTATTATGCCCATTCATTCACTTTTTCGAGAAATTTTGCAAATGTTTATTTTATACGCAAATGTTTATTTTATACGCAAATAAGAAATTTGACGTAATATTGTCGACATTTCAATTTAACTTAATCATGAAATTTTATTGTCAAATATATATTTTTATTACGATATACCGATTTTTTTTTACATAAAGGATGTCACTGAAGTGTATAAGCGAAATACTACTAATTTAATTAGCGAAATTATCCGACTAATATAAATCCGAGAAATTATATCATTCTGCGGTAGTACAATATAGGTTTGTACAGTGCACAATGGAAAGTCAAACGGCAATGATCTTTGACGAACCGAATAGTCGGCACGATCTTTGATGCGAAAAGATTGCGAAATAGCATCGGTTAACTCGGACAGAACTTGGATCGCGTTTGGTAGGTAGACCGCGTCGTTACAAAGTTTCGCTTCATTGATTCTTTGGTCAACAATTGTTTCCCTGATATTTTTCAATCTGTTAAAATTAAGATAAAAAAAATATTTTAAATAACCTTATATACACTAATATAATAAACATATCATTCAAAATTATATATGTATATCGCGATATATTTATTCTAGTAATTATTAATAATATAAAATATTTATTTAATCTAATATTTAATACTGGAAATATGTATATTAATATACATTTTTAACAGTATGACATCAATATCAAATTTTTTCATGTTATAATGAATAATCTTTCACTAGAAAATTTTC